GGCATTTTCTCGCGTGCATCCGTCTGCAGCAGCCAAACAGAAGCCTTTTGCGAAGAAGTCAACATCAACCCTCTAGACGATAACGATTCCGCCTCAGGGCACACGAATCTCGTTTGCGGCAGCGTTGCGAACAAGCACTTGGGGTTCACGGTTTGTTTGCTGATCATTTTTATGCGAATCTCTGGATCGACACGCATCACGATGACGTAGACGGACGAAAAAAAATGTTCGTGACGCAACTCCTGTGCGGCGGCCGTTAATTATTCATCTATTTCTTTTAACGGTTTTTTTTTACGTCCTTCATTATGCGTCTGGCTTCGCGCTTGTTCGCGAAGTTCGCGTCCGTGGCGGTAGTAAAGAGAAACTCTTCTTCTGTTGGGATACATTTGTGCAAAAAAGTTGGCCGGTGCTCAGATCCTCGGGTTTACATTTAAATGCGAATGGGGCGTGATGACGTATTGAACGAAGCGAGTTTCCGCATACAATAATGTGTATCCTGCATATTTCTTGTTGGGACTCTGGTGCCGGCGACTCCGACGGAATTAAGCTCGAAATTATTTTCGGGAAATGTACGCTTTTGGTCTTTCCTACTCAGTAGCAGAAAGGATGTACTGTTTATGGATGGTGACCTGACATTTGAACGCGCCCTGAAACAAACGCGTCCCAGGAGAACAATTTTCTGAAAGTTTCCACGCACAAAAAGACACACGCAGAGCAGCAACAGCAGTTGGTCAGTGTCGACGACGAGACGCGTCACAAGTTCATTGTTGTTGAGCGGTGCATCATCCAGAGGAAAATTCCCCGATGGAATTTAGCGCTTTTAATCATCAGTGAAATCTCGTTACAACGAACTCCTATCAGGGGCCTGGTAAAAATTTCGACTCAAGCAAGAATTCGTTGTAAGGAGATTCATGGTTTATTTTGAGCATGTAGGACTGAACTTTACGTGGGAAGCAGATAATTTATTCTTGTATGTACCTCCACGACAGATATACAGTATAGAGAATTGTCCAAATATTTAACTTATTTTGATGAAATGATAGAGAAAATTCAAAATATGAAATAAAATCATATTATTAGAGACTTCCCTTTCAAATATTTTCTTAAAATACTGTACACGCATCGTCCTGAAGATGAGCTGAAGCAAACGGAAAACACAAGAGCATTCATTCATTTCCTGTATGTTCATCCCTGAAAATGAGCAGTATCCTCCTACACATACTTTTCCTTGAAAAAAATTTTAGCTATTTTATAAATTATAAAAATAAAGCTAATTGCATTGTGATTCGAGCTTCATACTTCCTAGAAGGCTAAATTTTCTGCACAAAACATGAACATTTAAAATTTTTAAAGGTTTTTGAATAAGGTCCCATCAGTTGGGGTTTTTCATACAGCGCCAAGTAGTAAAAATATCTATGACCCACGCCCACATAATCAAGGTGAGCATTTTTATATTGAGATTTTTGAGGACGATTTATTTCTTGTGAGGATTTTTTTCCCACATTGTCCCCATGTAGAAACTCTTCCGGGACTAAGAAGATAATCGTTATATAACGGAAAAATACGTTATTATGAAGATACTGTATTCGTTTTAACGGAATTTTACTGTATATGTATGCCGCATTTTTTACAGTGCTCATTTGATGGCTTGGGTGGTGTTTGGCCAAATTTCTCAGATGCTCTGAAATGGTCTCGGCGCCGATGTAGACCGAGTAGGTTCATGGCCGGGTCCAGCCATGGGTATTTTTGGTGCCACTGTGGTCGGTTTGCGGTAGATGGTGCAATATAACCGTGGTTGTAATAGTATGGGTCTGGGAAGTCGTAGGAGGGCTCGTTGTGCGAAGGACGCTTGTTGCTTTTGTCTGTGCATGCCAGGGATTTGCCGAGGGAGAAATCGATGCTAATGTCTTGATAAAGGCCTTCGTCTTCCCCGTCACCGAACTCCCGCCAGCAGTTTCCACTCTGCCGGGATGTCCAGTGGTCTTTTTCGTTGTTGTTGTTGTTGATGTTATTGCTGCTGCTTTGTTTTTCTCATCGTCGTCCTGCGTTTCGTGAATGGGTCGGACGGAAGAGCATGCGAGGTCCAACGGGGTGGAAAGGGGCAAGCGAAGTTGCCTCGGCTCGTCTCGGATGTCGTCGTGCAAAAATACGCCGTCGGAGTCGGAGATTGGCGTGACTCTTACGCGATACCGTATGGACACAGAGCGAAAGAAAACATAGCTTCGTCTCCCCCTTCATCACGAGTAAATGCCAATGCAGTCATGCTCCGAACGGAGGACCAAAAGATTTAGCTGGACTGACGAGGGGTTTGGGCGTGTGGGCCACGCTTTCCCGTGGAAAATTGCACGCGGGAACCCCGAAATGTTCACGAACAAAGGAGCCGGGAATTGTCGCAATATCTTCAATTTCACGAGGGAAGGCATTGTCTCTCATGAATTCAAATGTAGTGAAGGAAAGAGGGATCCTGTTTTCTCCGTTCATGAACAGCTCGACGACGTGCAAACCCATATGTTTTATTTTTTCGTTTTTTTTTCCTTTTTTTATTTCGTCGAGACATGGAATCGTTTTGTCCCAAGGGGAATTAAGGCGTCAGTGGTTTGAAACATGATGACGACGATGAAGTACATTATTGCTGATCTTTGTTAATGAGAATCCGATTCTTCTTCTTCTTCGTCCTCCGAACCGACTGGCATATCGTGGAAAATCCGTCATGAACGCTTATCCTGCAAAACGGCGGCGACGAGTGAACCACTCAAGCCTGGACTTGTCGTGACGATTGGCGAAAATGCCGATTGTATGGGTTTCCACTATGCAAGAAATCCCTTTACTGCGATGTGATAATCTTCACCTGACCATTTTTTTTTCTGGTCCTGGCAGACCTATAAAGATATGCTTGAAAAAAACATTGCTTCTCTTGGACGCAATTATCTTTGAACGGATTTGTTTGTTTCTTGTTTTTTTTTTGCGTGAGGTTTCTTTGGTACGTCACCTGCGTAGGTGAGGCTGGAGCAGATGATTACCTAAACTAAGGTTTCAGATTTCAGCGCCGCAAAGAAAAAAGGGGTGGAAGAAGGGCTTCCCCCTCCGGGAAAAATTTGGTCGCCGGAGCAGCGCCGCCGTTGTGTGTGTCGGAGAGATTGCCATCAGATTTCCAGCCGAGATGGCGATTGAAAGCGGGTCCGAGCTCCGAGGAAACTAGGGGGCAAATGTGGGGGAAGGGGGCCCAGCATCCCGGCTCAATCGATCGTCCGATACCAGTGCAATTTGCATGAGTGCCGTGCGGGCGGTCTCGGGGAGTCAGCTTTGATGGATCGAGTTGCCATCAAGTCGCCTCAAGAAGGAAGACGAGGGGGGGGGGAATGAATACAATACATGTAAAGAAAGAGAGAAAATAAAAAAAACCCGGGTTCTCTGCTGTGTCGGTGTAGCGGGTTGAAAGTTGATTCCGGAGGAGGGAAATTCTATTTTTCCCGGGGCGAGGTATTCACGGTGGAACAAGTCGCATGCAGCAGTCTCGAATTTTTTTTTCTTTTCTTTTCATTTTGGGTTTAAACCTGCGCGGGCCATACGGCATCTTTGGAAAAATTACTACAGTACTTGGGATAAAATGTCGTGGTCATGGTGCAGCAATTCTGTCTTTTTTTTTTTTTTAGCAATCGTTCCTTCATTTAGGTACTGTACTGAGCAAAGGATTCCCGAGCGAAGAGAATTGAAGAGCGGATGGGGCAAAATCCATTGCAGTAATTTACCTGAAGTACTCGAATGAAAGCTTTTGATATTTGATTGACGTATTTTTGAAGGGGCAAAAACGATGCCTGAGATATGCAAGGAATGCCCGCAATTGCGTCCCATTTGTATTACCCGTGATCGCGATGAATATAAGTTGGGTTCGAATTGCAGGTTATTGGTCAGCTAGCGTACATTGACGCACATGAATCAATCTCGTAGTGAAAGAACTGATTTTTGCACTCAAGTGTAAGGCCATTGTTTTGCCTTTGTTTTTTTTTTTTCGTCTTCTTTTTACTGCACGGCCTGTAAGCGGTGCTAATGATTCCGGGGTTCCTGTTTTTTTAAGGCCCGGCTTGGTTCCATGCGGGGGAGACAATGCATGTCCCAGGGAAGAGGAATTTATTTCGACGGGGAAGGAAGAGAGAGAGAGAGAGAGAGAGACACCTTTTGTTATTTGTTCGCTTTTTTCTTTTCTTTTCTCATTCTTTGCACGCGAAGCGAGGCACTATGCAGCGAGAATGTGATCTAATTTGCAGCGACCAAACGAGCGGATGTGCTTGAAATTTTCTGAGGGAACGGCCCGACGGAGGAAATGGTTCGGAAACCGCGAGGGTGGCACCGAACCCGACGGCGACGATCCCTCGCCTGGGATTGACGCTTTTTTCCGGGATCTTCATTCTTTTTTTTTTTTTTTGCTTTTCTCTTTTTTGTGTGATGCAGAGAGGCCTCTCCCGTCGTCCAGAGGCTTTCTTCTCTCTGGAAAGCTTTCTTGTTTCTGCGAACCAGAGGCGACTTCGGCAGCTTCCTTCTTTCCGAGTAGATCTAATCGAGAAATGACTTCGCGTTCCATTCGGACATTTACAGAAAAGCGGGGAATTTCTGCATGGAGTTGTTACATGTGCTGCATGTCTTGTACCCATCATTCTCGCGTTCAGTGTTTATTTCCTCAATTAAACTCGAGAGCCTTTTTTTTTTTTTGCTGGAGGAAGGCACAGAAATTTGCAAACCTTATGATGACATTCCGGCATATCCACAAAAAAGCGCAGTACTATTCACAGCGTTCCGTTTGAATTGACCTCCATTTAGAACTGCAAATATTGCCCACACAAGTTGAGGGAAGTCCTTGAGCATTCCTGAGTGTGATTGACCGGTTGATATGTGCGATGATTCGCGCAGATTCGGAGAAATTCCTTCGAACTGAGCCTTCCCGCTTTTATTTTTTTTCGTGTGAACAGACATTTTTTCGAAAGAGAGACAAGAACGTTAAAGTAATGAATCACTTACTCGTGGAACCAACCAAGTATCCGAAAGTTGATTGTCATTTGACTGACACTTCAAGGGCCTGTGGTCGACGCCGTCATTAGAAGTAGTTTACTGCTGGAGTGATTACTTCGAAAAGCTTCCATTGACGAATTTACTTCAGTTAATGCTATACAGTATTTTTTGTTGTTGAAACATTACAGTTGATAAGGGGGAAATGTGCCTTATGAATATTTTTTATTCACTATTCCCCAAATTAGCCCATTGCTGGGATCACGATGTTTAAAAAAAAAAAGGATTTTATTGACGGGATCTTCCATTCTGAACAAGCACTCAAAACATCCAACGATTATAGTTTGCTTATTCGTGCTAAGATTTTTTTTTTTGCTGATGAATCAAAGGAGGCTAGTCCTGTTTTATTTAAAATATATATATACTGTATATAAATGCTAGGAATTTGATTTGTTCGATGCAGATATGTAATCTCGGCATGTATGATTCCTTGTATTGCACAATTTGAAAACCAACTCAACCTTACCCGTTTCTATTGGAGTGTTGTGACGAAGTGCTGTATAGAAAATGTTCTGCTCAGAAGCCTTAATGTTTCTTTGGCAAGATAACTCAAGTAGTAATGACCCAATCAAATTGATAAATCTGTCTTGAATCGATGTACAGCAGGTCAAATGCCACTATAGAGAGTCTTTTTTTCATTGAAGCGTTTTCAAAATCCTGGCCACATTTCCATAAACTTAATTTTGAATCTCCATGAGCACCGTTCGTTAGTCCGTAATTATGCTGCGAAAAACGTCTTATTCTGCCGGTAAACTTTGAAATTTTGTTCAGGTATGATGATTTGTCGAGAAAATCTCCTGTTTTGAGGAAAATATCTCTTACAGTACTTGTGAAAAAATAGACTATTTTTGCATGAATCTCTGTGTGAAAAAGATTTAGAGGTCCGTTGTTGATGAGATTTAACCTGCACTGGCCGAGTCTGATACCAACCAGTATCGGAAGATGTCTTTCAATTTCATCAAATTTGAATTTTGCTATTTCCGCAGTGGCAGCTCAGAGTGACATGGCTTCCGTGGACCCCCGACTGGAGGCGGAGTACAAAGCGATGATGGCGGCGCACATGAACTCGTCATCGATTTCGGCGCCTCAGGACCGCCCCCGTCGGCTCTTGGGCCCCAACGATCCCTACGCCTCAACCGTGGGCGAAGACGAACTGGTGTCCAATTGTTCCGTGCGCCAGCGTGACGGCACCACTTGGTGTCGCGTGAGCGACGACGGGACCGGCGCCGGATTGCAGCAGCAACAAGAGAAGCAGCAGCAGGAGCAGCGGAGGCGGCGTCTTCGCCGTCGGCGGCGGCGGCGACGTCGGCGCCACCACAAGAGTCGCCAAGCGTGAGCACGTCATACTCTATTCATAATTTTTCAGCATCGTACCAAAAAAAAAAAAGAGAGGATATTTCACATTGTCGGAACTTGATTACGTATTCAAATGGACATTAAGATTACACCTTTCGAAAGAAGGGGAGGGGGGCACAAGCCTCGGGCCACTCCGGAAGCAAGGGTAAATGTGTTTTCTTCTCTCTGGACTCCAGGTCGGCGCCTGGAAAATTGATAAAAATTACTGGCATCCTCGGGACGATGATTATTGCCGTTCGAAATGAGAGAGATGAAGGGGAAATCGTATCGTCTGTGTATCAAAGCGCAGAAGTCATCGTGTAACTCAATAAGTATACTTGTGGAAAATAGACGCGAAATTCCCTTTTTCCTGTTCCAGGTTCCGGACACAGGTTTTGTTTGCTTGTTTTTTTGTTTTATTCGCACACTTTCATTATATATTAATAACTTTCCGCAATATTCACTGTGCAGTAGCGCTTGAATATTGGCCTGTTTCACTTGGCCCGAAGAATTTTGCGATTTGTGGGATCGTGAGAGCAAACAACTGCTTTTCCAGATCTTCTCCATTTTTTTTATTTCTCAGCGTGCTCGATTCATCAGGCATTTTTTCCCGAATCGAATTGTTCCGTAAATTTGGGGGAAGGTCCATCATGGGGAAGAAAAAAAAAGTGCTACGTGTTTACCGCACGCGTGAACGTGGGTATGCTTTTATTTGCTTCCTGGTGATTCGCATCGATTTTATGGACATCACAGGCGGTTCCGCATTCGAAGAAGCTGTCTCGGAAATCGATGCACCGCTGATTGTTTCCGGTTCCGGCCGCTCTCTCCGTTTCTATCTTTTTTGCGTTTGTCAGCCGAGCTGGATCTTGACATAGCGACGGAAATATCCTTCTTTTCCCTCTTGGCAGCTGTTGAGGAAAATTACACTTCGATTGGGCAATCGGTTGTGAGACGTGTGCATGACGATCATCCGACTGCGGCTTAGGGGAAATTCAAGGGAACCGTATTTTTTCCAGAAGGGAACTTTTCGAGCGCATTTTGATGCATTGGCGAAAAGGATTTCCTCGCGAGCATTCTGCTCGCAATTTCTCCTGATCTTGCGGCATTAATCTCGAAATGTCTTCCGTTACTTCGACGTGCGTCATATTCTGTTGCGACGTTGGATTCATTATCGTATCCAGGATCTGCTCTTGTTTGTTTTCGCAATATGCTGCTTGCCCGGATGAAAACAACGTTAGAGCAGCACCGGTGTTTTTTTGCTTCCTCCGGCTTTTACAGAAAAACGGAGAAATAATGCAGCGGAAGTCGAGTGACGACAATAAGGAGACGAGCAAAGTTTCAGGAGCGAAAAAAACAAACAGCGATACAGTACAAATGCAGTACGGTATTATCATCGTCTTCTTGTGCGTCATTTGCGGGCCCTTTTTATTTTATTTTTGTTGTTGGCCTGAATTCGTGAGAGCGCCTGGAGCATCCGGACTATTTGCAGAGATGCCACTCTTCCTATAAATAACGTATTTGCTCCGATGCACGACGCAGTTTCTTCCCAGGTTGCCTCCTGGAAAATCAGGGTTCGGTCTGGAATTGATGGCATCTTTTAGAATCGCGTGTCAAACTTGGGTTCATTGGGAGGTCCGAAATGTTGCTACTATTCAAAGTGATGCAAATTGCGTCAACTTATGGCTAATTTTTCCATCCGGAGGGGGAAATGCTTGCGTGAGAAGGTATGTGGGAACTTTTTACTCGGGAAGGGGGGTTTTTTTTTTATTGACCACTGGCGGATTTATTCCGCCTGAAAGAAATCGAGGCTAGTCATTAGTCGTAGTTTTTTGTCGCCGGCGTCTTGTGTTTGAAGATTTTTTTTATTTTTGAAAATACTGTAGTGCTCTGTGTGTTTAGCCCTTGAAATTGCATTCTCTGAATTAAACTGTAAGAAAAAAAAAAGAGCCTGCAAACTTGTTCGCTTCTCGCTGCGGTTATTTTACTGGATCCCTTGTCTTGCGGTTGAGTTGGGAAATACAGTATTTTAAAGTGTAGGACGAAATCACACACACGGCTTCGAGTGCAATATCCTGGATGACAGCGAGGTCATTCGGGGAGGAACCCGAGGTTCTCTAGAGAAGAAAAAAAAAAACCTGTCACGTTCCTGCAGTACTTGTGAGCCTGGATGTCACCCGGTTAACTGCCATCGTCACACCTAACGAACCCGATCCACCCCGACATTCCTGCTGACATTTCGCTTTCGTCTGTGTATGTTTTGTGTGTTCAGAGCCCCCCTGTCATTCATATAGTCAGTCGGTGGCTCTGGAAACCACGAGGAGCCTTGAATTTCGAAGCCCAGACCTGCTTTCTAATTCAACTGATGCCGTCCTTTAAAAATGTGTGATCGTTGAAACAAGTACTTTACGGTACTCCGCAACTTTGGCGCATCAGTCGAGAAAGTTCCGATCGCCACACATTTTGAAAGTTAAAAATTGGGAAATGAGCTGTCTATCGTTGGATTACAGACCAAAAGAAACCTAATTTATGTTGTAAGTGAAACATGCAAGAGTTAATTAAAGATGGGGAATGCTTAGAAATAAAATTGTTTGGAAAAGCATGTGCTGTCATGGTTGAAGGATGAATTCAGCTTGTTCATGACACCCATTTCCTTCTTAGGAATGCTCAAGATGCTTGTTGCTATCAACGTAACTTTTTCCTGAGGTTTTCATGTGAAAACAAATTAAACTTCGTATTTTGTTGTGGTTGCAATTGATCAATTACAAACTCGAGGTGTTGGACTTGGACAAGTGAATCTGGAATCAATCTGTCGCACGTCGACATGGCCTTTGCTGGTCTTTTTTTTATTTCGTTTCTTTCAATTTTTATTGATCACATAGTTGGGGATTACTTTATTTTCTTTTGTAGCTTTTTTTTTTAAATATTTTGATAACCCTTGTGGGCAGCCCTTGATGCAATTGCTCACCAGCAATCGTGGCTGCGTGGGAAAAAAGTCAGGGCCATTTCCACGCATCACCAACCCTTGTCTAACGGAAAGTACAGTACAGCATTGTTCCCGTTGTGCAAACACACTGTAGCATCAAGACGAAATAGCGGAAGTGCCGCATTTTCGAACAAGAAATGGTCCTTACCGCAATTGAAGGTTTCTCTGCCGATGCTTTCGTCGAATCTGAAAATTGTCGACCATAAGTTTTTTTTTTTTCTTTTTTTTTTTGGACGGGAGAAAACGCCGCCAGCCTTTCGTCTGCTACTTTGCATAGAGCTAGCTATACGACGAACGCTGAGTCTGAGGGCCTCCTCACCTTGCTTGACCAAATTCGATGTTTCCGTGGTTGAACTCGTTCCTTGGCAGCGGCCCCATCCCTGGTGACTTTGAATAAGGCTCGAATAAACAAATAATAATAAAAGAATCAGAATTCCCTTCCTGACCAATTCCGCTCGAAGTTGGCAAACGGAATAAAACCGTGTGTCTCCGGGAGCAAATTCAAATAAAGGAAGCAGTGTGTTTGACTTGCGTGCGTTGCCCCTTTTGCTGCCTGTCTCGCAGTTCACTTCCTCACTCGCTGCTGTGTCAACTGCTGGAAGGGAATCGTAGTTTCAGTGTTTGTTCTTCTCCGGAACAACGCACATCGAGGATCTGGAAGTTCTAAGGCTGATTGCCAGACCTCCTGATGGTTCCTGCCCGTCTTGCGTGTGCTTTTTAAGCAATTCAGACCCGCGAACCGGACCTTCTTCCGGCACAACCCCGCTCCTGCGTGACGCAACTTGTGATGCTCTAGCTGCAGTACTCTATACAGTACTTGTATAGACGCACCGTATTCACAATAAGTCCAAGCGGACGCGTGTTTCATAGTCCCTAATCATATCCGACGAAAAAGGAAAATACGCATAAATACCTCTTTTTATAGATGACATATTTTCTGAACTGAACTTTTCGTTACGTAAACAAAGGAGCTAAAACAATTGAAGCTCGTCCGATAATTTTTCAAATAGCGCTGATGAGAAAGTCTTCGCGTATTTTACTGTACTGTATAGTGGTTCTCTAGTGGAATGGTGGGTTCGTACGAAAATCGTCCTGGTTCTTCCTATTTTTGAATGACACGCGTGAGTGTAGATCAGCATTTGTATACGCACCCGTCAATGCTCATGATAAAAATCACGCATCAACTTAATACAATACAGTATCTCCAGCAGTTGCTTTTCCTATAGTAAATTTCCTTATACTGTATTCGTACAAGTCCTATTGATACCAATAAATTGAACGGAAAGTATTCTTCATCGAGTTCAATCCGAAAGTCTTTTCTTTTTGATACGAAGCGAGAAATCTAGTTGCAGTTTTCTTTTTCTTTTTTTTTCTGGCTCGTCGTGTGAACACCGTCAAGTTTGTAAAATATTCCGAGCATTCGCATTGATGTAAATGCATGCATGTGCTTTGTTCAATTGAAAACGAAAAGAACACACAGACGCGGAGGGAGTCGCAGAGCTGTGGCAGACCCGCTGCTGCACTTGGAAGCGACGGCGATGGTGGAGAATAAGATGTCTCGCACGTCAACGTCGACGTCGACCGTGATCCCGACGACGACGACGGCGCCAACGATGACGACGACCGTTCGTCCGCCGGCGTTTGTGGGCCTGCGGCGCCGGAAGCGAGCCGCCACTGCCCGACGGGAGCGGCTCTGGGACTACGGGGTAATTCCGTACGTCATCGACGGCAACTTTAGTGGCGACAACGAGGCCTTGTTCAAGCAGGCCATGCGACACTGGGAGAATTACACCTGCATCAAATTTGTACCGAGGGAGAGCGAACATCCCTCGTGGATCACCTTCACGGAGCGGCCGTGTGGGTGAGTACAATATTGTACAGTACAGTACTCCAAACTCTCCTCTACGAAATACAGTTTTTAATCTGTACAGTGATGTACAGTACTATGCTCAAGCACAGTACTTGACAGTGCTTCGTGTATAAGAGACTGGCCCAGCAAATAAATGCAGCCTGTGGCATCTTTTTTTAAATGTCGTGTTCCATCACCTGAAGAGGAAAAGAAGGTGGGTTGGGTGCCATTATTCCATGCTGTGTCGAATGATTCTCGATTTCACAACTAGCTTGGCGTTTAAAGGTGCCCTGCGGCTATTATAAAAAATATATACCGTTTATTTATTACGTTTCGGAAAAGGTTCATTGATGGAACTATGAACCCGCTTTTGAAATTCAGAAAAATAGCGGGATCGATATATTCATAGATTAAAAGGCTATTGGTCAATTTTTCAACATCGGTTCTTTTTGTGACTGCAGTGATACAGTATCGATTCAAGTGTACGACAGACAGTAATGACTATAGATAGTCGATAAGGCCATGCGACACTGGGAGAATTACACCTGCATCAAATTTGTACCGAGGGAGAGCGAACATCCCTCGTGGATCACCTTCACGGAGCGGCCGTGTGGGTGAGTACAATATTGTACAGTACAGTACTCCGAACTCTCCTCTACGAAATACAGTTTTTAATCTGTACAGTGATGTACAGTACTATGATCAAGCACAGTACTTGACAGTGCTTCGTGTATAAGAGACTGGCCCAGAAAATAAATGCAGCCTGTGGCATCTTTTTTTTTAATGTCGTGTTCCATCACCTGAAGAGGAAAAGAAGGTGGGTTGGGTGCCATTATTCCATGCTGTGTCGAATGATTCTCGATTTCACAACTAGCTTGGCGTTTAAAGGTGCCCTGCGGCCATTATAAAAAATATATACCGTGTATTTATTACGTTTCGGAAAAGGTTCATTGATGGAACTATGAACCCGCTTTTGAAATTCAGAAAAATAGCGGGATCGATATATTCATAGATTAAAAGGCTATTGGTCAATTTTTCAACATCGGTTCTTTTTGTGACTGCAGTGATACAGTATCGATTCAAGTGTACGACAGACAGTAATGACTATAGATAGTCGATACAATCATAAACATACCGATGTGATAAATTGGCTCCAACCAGGAGAAGTCACTGAATAAAAATATATGCAAATTCGCTTGATCCCCCTCATGAAGAGAAGGGCTCCGAAGGAATCAATGCTTCAAAATCATACGTTTTTGGCAACGCACCTTCAACGAGTGGGTAACATTTTCTAGCGCTTTTTACGCATGTTTTAAAATAACTTGCTATACTTCTCCTTCTCATATGAATGAATGAATGAATGAATGAATGAACAGAACACTTTATTTGCTGCTTTTCAGCATTCACGAGGTTCAATCAAGATTTATCTTCATTGAATTCCAATACTTGTAAATCTGTCTTAAGCTTGTTTCTATCAGTATGAAATGCTGGACATAAGAAGAGAATAAGGTGCTCTGGTGATGCACAAATTAATGTATTTATGCTGCAGGAGTTACACCACTTGAACACTTTTGAAAATTGGAAGAATTTTTTACTAAAGTGCCATGAATCCTTCTCATTTAGAATTTGGTTGTTACCCTTCGCTGTGTGATGAACACACGCGCAGAGATTTCATACGTGCCACCACACATGCAAGTGTGTTATCCTCGCTCTTGCATGAATGATGCTTGTCTCTCAAGTCTTGCCAAGAAACATTTTGACTCGCGAAAATGCAAGGTCTGATGCTAAAATACCCGGGATCGACGAGTCAATATTGTTTTAGAATTTTCGAAATGCTGGCTCCTCTTTGTTTTTTGGTCGAGGAATTGTGCATTACCCCAGACTTCGGGTTGCTTTCTAGCTGCTGTTCCTTCGTGGGCAAGAAGGCGCCGGGATCTCAAGCCATTTCCATTGGCAAAAACTGTGACAAACTGGGCATCGTCATTCACGAGTTAGGACACGTCGTTGGCTTCTGGCACGAACACACTCGTCCAGACCGCGACAGTTACGTTCATATCATTCTGGAAAACATCATGCCCAGTGAGTGAAAGAAGGAAAAAAAAAAACTGAGGAAGGGAAAATGAAATAAAGGTATCCCTTTCCGGAAATCAGTTCGATATAATTAATTGCGTTATTCAGACCAAGAGTACAACTTCAACATGCTGACCAAGGACGAGGTCGACTCTCTGGGGCTGCCCTACGACTACGCTTCCATCATGCATTACGCGCGCAATACCTTCTCCAAGGTTGGTTTTTATTTTTTTTTTCTCCCTGCTTAATTACTTTGCCGGTTTTTGTCACCCTTTGTGAACCACACTACTGTAATGCATGCGGTATTTATTGCTATCGGGAACCTGATGCCGTGATGTGACACCTCGTCATGATGGCTTCATTTAGTTGCAGCTTTAAACACGAAGCTCTCAATGTCCTTGTGTTTGGGCGCCTCGAAAGAAAATCGTGGCGTCATTGCATGATGACGCGTACTTCTGGGAAGTCTCTGATGGGTGCCTCTAAGATTTTACTCTGCATTGGGAATACAATGTATTTTATATCAAAAGCAAAGATGTACGTATGCCAACATAGACATTGTCGTTTCTGTGACAAATTTATCTCTCGAGTGTGCGATGGGAATTGAAAACCGAGGGAAAAACAACGGAAATGTCGTGCATGAGTCGCCCACAAAAAGTTGAAGCTATCACGAAGTATTCATTGTAAAAATTAATTTTTGAACAAATCAATCTTATTTGTTGAAAGAAAAAAGGATTTGCGTGTGCTTCTGTAGTGCGGGAATTTCTCTTCGAGCCGAGTTCGCGTGATGTGGACAGCATACAGTATTTGCAATTAAGCACTGTATCTATCCTTGAAAAATGCATGCATTTGCGACTTCTTTTCGTTCATTCGCGTAGCCGAATCAATTCGAGATCGGGAAAGTCGGAATGTTCTAACGTGCTGATGTGGATTGCAGAACACGTATTTGGACACGATTTTGCCGAATAAGAGTCCGAACTCTGCGGAGAGACCCGAGATCGGGCAGCGTGTGAAACTGTCCGAGGGCGACATCGCACAGACCAAATTGTTGTACAAATGCCCGAGTAAGTCCTCGTTATTTATTTATTTATTTATTTAAGTTGGGGGGGGGGGGGGGGCTAAAAATGAAAATAAATTCAGCGTGTCTCAAATTGGCGCGTCTTGAAGCGGCAAACATGCTCACAACAGGCCGTCTCCAGAACAGTAGAAGTGATTGACTACAGTATTTATCACAATTAGATACCAGGTGAACCTCGATAACTCGAACCTCCCTAGGTCGAATTTTTTTCAGATCCCCTCTGAATCCCCTTGGAAACAATGAACATAAAAAACCTCTCTAAGTCGAAGGGTTTTCTACTCAAATTTCTGTAAGTCGAATATTCTGTGGCCTGTTGGCCATTATTTTCTTGAAAAAAAAAAAGAAAAAAGCAATAAAAACATAAATTCATGTGTTTAAAGAAAGTGAAAGATTTAATTGGGGAAATGAACCCCTGCCTCGCAAGTTCAGCAGCCTTTCAACTCATTTAAGAAGCCATTTATGCTTTAGAATATGTAAATTTACATTTTTTTCAAGTTTTCCAGAAAGAAGGGCTTTGTATTGCAGTTCCCATCTATGAAATTCCTGACCTCCCTAAGTCGAATTTTTTTGCAGGTCCCTTGAAATTCGACTTAGAGAGGTTCAACTATTAGGTTAATCTCCTTGAAAATTTCATCGGCAGAAGATTTATTTTGCCTCTAATTTTTTTTTTTCAGTTTTTGCATCGTTGAGGGTATCCATGTTTTACACTCATGCTGTGTGTGTGTTTATTTTTTTATTTTTGGCGGTGTTTTGAACTCGACCTGTTTTCGTTTTGGGACACGCGCCGTTTTGAGACACGTATATACGCGCTTAAAATCCCAGCCCTTGGGGGGAAGAACCCACCCGAAAGAAGCAACAAGAGAAAAGTGTGCTGAATTTCCATCTGAAAAAGAAATAAAAAAAAAAAAACTGTTGCAGCTTGCGGCGGGACGAGACTGACGAGCACGGGGGTCATTCGGTCCCCGGACTGGCCAGCAGCAGTCGAAAACGCGACGGACGTGGACCCCGTGGAGAATGAGATTTTCGACCCCAAGAGCCCGATGGCGCAGGCGCACGCCATCTTGAACCGCGGGCGCCTGGGCTACAATTGCGAGTGGCGCATCTCCGCCACGCACGGCGAGCGCATCTCTCTCAACATCACGTCCATGAACCTCTTCAAGTCTGACCGGTGCGACGTGGACTACATCGAAGTCCGAGACGGATATTGGCACAAGTCTCCACTCTTGGGTGAGCTGACTGACTTGAAAAAAAAAATATATATATAAATATTTGACATACAAGTACCCTGTATATATGCTGAAGAGTCGCACGCAAGAATACCGTGTATTAACTTTAAGACACGCCTCTATTTTCCCCCACCCAAAAATGAAAAAAAAAAAAACCGTTTGCATGCCTGACAAAGTTTGGTGTTGCTGGTGATGTTCCAACACGTATAAGCACTAAAATTTCTATACTGGTGTGCCAGAGCTCCAATAATTTATCCAGCTGGGCGTGAATTCCAAACGGTTTGAAGATCTAAGCTGACAAGTGGGTGCTCGATTATGAATGCAAACTAAGTAACAGAACTGCTGGCATAAATTTACAATTCTATGTTGATTGAAATGAAGAAAATGGAGTCGCTACAAGACTGACACGTGCCTCCGAGATGGATATCCGAAGCTTTTTCCCCCTTATTTGGCATAAATTTGTTTCTTCAGAATCACTGGAGTCTGTAAATCCTATACTCATGCTTCGATCGACAACTTCATGTTTTCGGCAAAAAACATGAAGTACTTCGGATACTTGCGACATTCAACCAAGCAAGAATTTATTGACTCGCATTGTAGAGAATTTTAAATTTAACGGGTTTCTAAATGATAAGTTCTTCTGTTGAAGGTTTGCTCTTGAACGTTCGGTGATTCTCACCCAATTTTTCGTTTAGCTCCGGACATGCTAGACTGAGAGTAGGTTTCGAATGATGATAATCATCATTCCCAAACAATACAAGTACTTTGATGATAAATAGTCCTTGCGGGACGTGCGATCACTAATGATGGGCCATTGAGGAATTCTGGCCGAGTAATTCCGAAATTCACGCGGGCCTCGCTCTTGTATCATGCTAAATTGGCAGTGTTCCATGCACTTTCGGAACTGGCCGAACCTCGGGAAAGAAAGTTATTTAGCACATGCTGCTGCATCGTTCGAAGAGGCTAAGTAAGCTGTTCATCGTAGCAGGGATAACTTTTTACTTTCTCCAAGCACTGTGCGTAGCAACTTTTCTGGCGTTTATTTCAAGTCAGAGTTAAGCCTCGGGGAAATTTCCATCTTTGTACGGAAAGGTCCACGTTTTTCTTTCTTAATTTTGGCCAAGATTAATTGCCAAGAAAGCGGTTTCTTAACTACGGTACTTCGGGTAGAAATTTCGATATCGTTGGATCAATGGTGATTTTACTCTGCCTCGCCCGGGACGTGAATCCAAGTAAGGTACGTTTTTTTATTTTTCTTTTCTTTTTTTCAACAGGCAAGTTTTGCGGAAATTCTCCCGCGGAACCGATCATGCTCATGTCCAAAGGAAGCAGGATGTTGGTGACTTACCACACGGATCGTTTCAGGACCAAGTACAATGGCTTCATTGCCGACTACGAAGGTGACAATTGACGCCGCTTTTATCGACTACAATTACCCACTCTTGGGTCGGGGTCCAGGAATCCCTTCGCACTCGTTATTCGCTGCTAGAAGCTATACTCCTGTGACGTGAAAAGATTCGAAGAAAAACAAGTTGGACTGAATGTTTGAATTTGCTCAAGTGGATAATGTCGTATTCCAATTTCCGGGAACGCGGTCGAGCTTTGCATGCATGCTCTGAGTTCAAGTTTTTTGTTTTTTTTGGTAATATTTCCGTGGCGTCCGTCGAAAGATGGAAGAAGAGATTTCCATTTTCAGTCGGTCCGTAAGTTCGGCAAAAATTCCATCTTGATGCAAATGAGGCCCATTTTTTTCCATTCCCTCGTCTGCGGGTCCGTCGACCCCTGTTGCATATCCCGGATTTGAGCGGAATACAATTATTTTCAATCTCGGTCGAACGTAGTCTTTTAAGAATGCCCGAAAAAATTGCTCAAGACTCCCTGCTTTCGAGAGAAACATTTCAAGAATCAAGTTGAAACGCTGTCCAATGGGTTAAATACGAGCGAGGATTTTCCATCTCTTTGCGTTTTGTCTCGCTGCTGGAAATGCAATTCATTTGCGTTTGATGTCATGTTGGCAGCCATTTGTGGAGGAGATTTGGAAGTGGAACACGGACATCTGGAAAGTCCCAATTACCCTGACACTTACCAGGAGAACAAGGAGTGCATTTGGCGGATAACAGTTCCGAAAGAGTACCAGGTGGTGCTGAGATTTCAAACTTTTCAGGTACTTTTTTTAAAAACACATTTCCGCTTTATTGCGTACGATTGCGGTACTCCGCAAGGATGCTCATCATTCGGTGTATATAGTACTGCATTTTCAATTTTATTTTCGGTTAAAAAAAAACTGTGTAACTGCTTCTTCCTTCGCTACACCAATTGAGAGAATGTTTCCTTGGTTAGCGTCTGTTTTATAATTGTGAGGTGACCAGAAATTGGAGAGTCAAACTAAATTCTTTTTTTTATTTTTGGAAGAAAAGAATGTGAATGTATTGAATCGATTTGCAGATTGAGAACCACGACGACTGCTATTATGATTTCATCGAAGTTCGGGACGGTCATTCGGCAGACTCACCGTTGATCGGCAAGCATTGCGGCTACAAGACACCGGAAGACCTTGTGGCTTCCGGAAACAAGATGTACATCCGGTTCAAATCAGACGACACGATTGCCAAGCCCGGTTTCTCCGCGGTCTTCATGAAAGGTTCAATTGATTAATTGACCTCGACCTAGCCTTCCATTTTTTATTTCTTTGTTTTGTTGTTGTTGTTGACTGTATTGCTGACTGGTGCGTCTTTTAGAATACGACGAATGCGCGAGATTGGATCACGGGTGCCAACATTTGTGCGTCAACACCCTGGGAGGGTTCGAGTGTCGCTGCAAAATCGGATACGAATTGCACTCCAACGGCAAAGACTGCGAAGGTGATTGATTGATTGATTGATTGACTCAACCGTCTAAACATCGCGTTTATTACCGGTTTCGTATAAACGGATGCTCCGTAATACTTTTGCTCGCAGTGAGCTTTAGTTTCAATATTTTGGCTAAGAAATCTCTAAGCGCTTATTTCTCGTGGGGTAAATATGAAAAAAATATATTTGTGCATGCCAGCCACTCTTTTAATCACGTAAAAGTTATAAAAAAAATACAATGCACTAGTTTATTATGACATTTATTTGTATGAAAGCGTGAGGATTTTCTCGTTTTTCAACGAAGCGGTCAATTTTATTATTTGATTAGGCCTCTCTTCTTACTGTTTTGTTTCTTTTCTGTTTGTGGTTGGCTGACCGTGATGCTAGTGCATTGGCATAGCGATAATCATCGCTTGTAATCACCTGATGAGCATGAATACCGATGAAGAGAAGGAAAAATGCTCTGTTTTGTTTGTTTGTTTGTTTGCTTGCTTGCAAGTCCCTGTCAGGAACATGGTTGCATAAAATATGAATGACTTGGATTCCATGGATTATTATTTGTGTGCAGACGCTTGCGGTGGGACGATCGATTCAGAAAACGGGACGATCGTGTCGCCGTCGTACCCGGAAATGTACCCGAGCAACAAGGAGTGCACTTGGGAGATCATCGCCCCGCCGAACCACAAGATCACCCTGAACTTCACCCACTTTGACTTGGAGGGCACGAACGAGGACTGTGGGTACGACAAGGTGGAGATTGCCAGCCTGCTGCCCGAGAACAAGACCTACAAGCACGGCTCGTTTTGCGGCGACACCTTGCCGCCGCCGGTGTCGTCCAAAGTCAACGCCATCCGCGTCACTTTCAAGGCTGACTCGTCAGTGCAGAAATCCGGCTTTGCACTCGTCTACTTCATGGGTATGTTGTTTCAATTTGTACATGTACTGTATCTCCATTGCTGTGATGACTTGATTGCTCTCTTGGGAATCGCTCGAGTGCATCGACCCGAATTCACCCCAAGCAGTGCTATTGGGTACGCAACCTAAATTTCAAGATTACCGTACTCAGGGTTATCCTCGTACCTGCTGCGAGGGCACAGCAGGAAAGTTCTTTCAAATTCAGCGCAGTTTAATCTAAAGTTTGACATGCGTGTATTATCAAGTCTGAAAACTCAAACTGCTTAACGTTGTGCAAATGCTGCAAAAATAAGGGTATGAAACGCGGTTTCCGTCGGAGGGACTCGACCTTGATGTTATGGAATCCTTGCAGCAGCTGTGGTCTGACCTATTATGTCATCTACACATTTTTTTTCTCTCGGGATTCCTTGAAACGAATGAATGGAGGCGCGGCTTTAGTATCTCAATAAATACTATGTACTGCATATTTGAAAATTGAAGGAATGGGCTTTTTTTTGTCGCATTTCTTTCTTCTGAGCCCCTATGCACTTTTTTCTGTACCCCAATATTCATTTTTCTTGAATTATCGACAAAGACCTTAATCCATCTAATTTACCCTTGAATCTTGAAGTTCCGTAGAAAATTATATTTTGTGCATTCAGAAATAATAATGTCACTCTTTTAATGATGACAAAGCAGGGTGGAAAAATTTGGTTCGAAATGTACATGTGAGTTTAATTATAGTCTCGAATGAAGCGTGATAACACTTCCACATGAAGTGGGATCGCCCCAGCAGAAATCAATCATCTATGAATGAACTGAAGCTTTCGTTTCTCCAGATATCCTGAACTTGAAAAAAAAATCTGAATTTTCATTGTCCCTATAAATCATCGTTCTTGTATTTGACTGTTTCCCGCTTTTCATACTGCATGAGAGTCCTTTCAAAACCCTGACGAGCTGATAAGAATTCTGTGGAAAGAGGCTGACTTTATTTTCAAGACTCCAAAGTTAATCTTGGATCGAAAGAATCTCGGAAAATAAAAGGCTATCACAAGAACAAGTCTGATGAAAATTTCAAAGAAAAAGGCTTTCGTTTGCCCATGTTTTTAAAATCGTGAAGTTCATTGTTATATAGAGGGGATTTTTCTTTCCGCGGATGGCGGTCAAGGATTCGTGGGAATTTAAATACCGACATTCCGGCCAAATACAACTCTGTACTCCTGCATCTTTTCTTCTTCTTATTTTGTGGTCCCTGGTAAATCTGCTTTCCAGCTGAACTGACTTATCGATGAGTCAGGATGACCGGATTCGCCAATGTTGCTTCCACGAATGTCATATCCTATGATGGGTTTCTCGAAAGTTCTGCGCGTCGCCCACAATCGAAGTGGAGAATCCTAGAGTACGATTTCGAATTATTTTCCTCTGGCTGCAAACGATGCTGTCGCTGTCCATTAGCGGGTTGAAATAAATTCTTGTCAGAAATGTTGATATTTGAGAGTCTTAAAGAATCACGAGCATTATTCATTCCGAGAATTGGTCCACGTCTCTATTTTTTGTTACATCAAAACTTTTTATAGAACCTCGGTCATCAGCCCGTGTTTTAGCGCCTCTCTGAGCAGAGCCTTCAAATTTTTTTTTTGATACAGTATTCCAACCCTTTTTCTGTTTTTTTTTTGGTGGTCCATGTCGAAGAGACAAACTCTTCGGCGGGAATTCTGAGAACTCCTGCCGATATTTGGGCGGTAAATTGTGAAGAATGGACCGCGAGGTACGGTACTTGTTGAAAATCAGTCGGCCTCGGAGGAGGTCGTGAGAGGGAATTCCGAAGAGGATAATAATAACGATTGGGGCCTGAGATTACTGCACACTACACAATACATGATTTTGAGGACACGTTATCGGCTGGCGGATGGATTCTCAAGCAGCGTGTTGAGCACGGACTTGTCACCCGAAAACGACTAGGTGACAAGGCGTGAAAACAAGACTCACTCACGTACACGCGAGAGTATAGGAATAAATAAAACTAAAAACACGGAGCGTGCGCGATAATCGCTGTCGCTGATGTCGGAACTCAAGAGTGGGTGACGACACATTCCGCGTGTTTGGGATCCTATACTCATCACTTCGTTTCATCCCTACCCCCCTCCCCCCAGATAAGGACGAGTGCTTGACGAACAACGGCGGGTGCCAGCACGTGTGCACCAACACGATCGGGTCCTACGTGTGCAGCTGCAACAACGGGTTCGTCCTGCACCCGGACAAGCACGGCTGCAAAGAAGGCGGCTGCAAACACAAGGTCACGCGCTCCGAAGGCAACTTCTCCAGCCCCAACTACCCCGAGTTCTACCCGGGCGACAAGGAGTGCGTCTGGCACTTCACCACCACGCCCGGGCACCGCATCAAAATTGTGGGTTATACGTCTTTTTTCTTTCTTTTTTTCTTTCTATCTTTCGTCCCCCTTTTCCCTCTTCCCTCGGACGTGAATGGGAATACTTTCAATTGGTTCTCCTGATGTTGGATCAAAAATGAGAAAAAGTCCCCCAAAAACGGGAATAAAATATTATTTGTCTCAATTTTAATACAGTACATTGAAAATACCAGCACAGAGGGAAACCACTCATAATCTGATCTTTTGTCATGAAAAGGAACCCAAAAAGAAATAAATAAACAAGCAAACAAACAAACACCCGCCTTCCCTGCTGTATAGTCAGATGAAGTCTGAAAAAAATAAACAAAACTTAGCCTGTTTTGAAGTATAAACATGGTGAATTTATAATAAAATTTATTTTCACTATTTTCGAATATATTAAAGTCTCACTTTGTTCAAGAGATAACAAAATAATTGAAAACATTTTCAATTTGTCTAGAAACGGTCGTAAAGTGCCCGTATCTTGAGACATCGGATTTGTTGAGCTATCAAGTAATTCTAAATTGAATCGTCCCCATTGTATTCCTTCATCCGTCTGTTGGTTGGCTTGCTGATGCCTCGGTTAATGGTCTAGAAATATATATACAGTACAGTACAGTACTTTCGACTGGCAACTCCATTAGTCGCTACGCCGATGACATTCTTGGTTCTTTCGATACCCAAAAATTGTGTGCCTTAGTTTCACTCCCATTTCCCACGGGAAGCCGTTACTTTTCAAAGCATATTCAATGTCAAACTAATCTTTGAAATACTGTATATTGCTGTCGGAACCCCGACGTTGTTGACAACTTGATGAGATCGTTGGCTCGTGCTAGACATTTTTGGAATTCGAACTGGAGCCGCATCAGGAATGCACTTATGACCACATCGCCATTTATGATGGACCCGACAATCTCAGCTTCATGTTGGGACGGTTCTGCGGGTCCAAGATCCCTCATCCGATCGTCGCCAGCTCCAACGAATTGTACATGGAGTTCAAAAGTGACGGCTCTGTTGAGCGCAAAGGTTTCCTCGCCGATCATCGCACTGGTTCGTGTCAATCTTTCTCTTTCTCTGTGATTCCTCGATTAGAACCCAAAAAAAAGATAGCTAGACGAAGAAACTAAAGAAATCGTTCAATCCGGCATCTTTGACTTTTTTTTAAATGCCTCTCATTGTCTGGCGATCCTCGCGCAGTTTGCGGCGGACACTTGAAAGCCGAGCGACAAGTGCGGCATCTGTACTCACACGCCAAGTACGGGGACCACGACTACAAGAACCACGAGGAGTGCGAGTGGAAAATCGAGGTGAGTCCGGGAGCGAGGATCAAGCTCACGTTCCTCACGTTCCATCTGGAGGACGACCAGGAGTGTGCCTATGACTCTGTGGAGATCCAGAGTGGCTACGAAGAGTCTCCACCGCAATTCGGACCCTACTGCGGAACCAAGGTAAACTATGCGTTTTTCTCTCAATTTATCCCTCCCCGTATCGAGGAGAAAACAAGTTCATTGTGAGATCACCAACGGGTATTGGGTTGGAGGGATCCTTGAGGATCCGTCCGGAACCTTGCGCTGCCCTCTTCTTACCCGGAATCTCAACTCTTTCGGCCAACGTTTTTGTTTTTCAACGCGGGGTGTCGCTGTTGAAGGAGTGAAAGAGGCGTCAACCGAGTGTGCTTCTTTCATAATTCGACCGAAGAAAGGGTGCAGAATGCGACTCTGCCCATTTTCAAATGCATCACTTTATGAATGACTTCAATAATGCTCTGTTTCTTGTGTTTAAAAAAAGGTATTGACTCAAACTTGTTTCAATCCGCATTTCTGGGTGCTGCACTGCGCCTAAAATTGTGGCAATCACAATACTTTTAACAGATCGAAATTTAAACACAATAGCGAATTTTACCTTAAACAATAAGTATGAGATTTGAATTTTTTTTTCAAAAAATTCCGAAAAAATTAAAAGACAGTTTGAATATATTTAAAATATTAGGTAATTAAAAATTATTATTTGGGTCTTGCTTCTAAAAATTTGCAATTTTTAATTTTTTATCAACTATAAAGCCTAGCAATAGAAAATAATTTCATAATTAAATTTACAATTTAACGCTCAACTTCAGCCATAAATCGATAAGATCTGAAATATATTCCTCTGTTGAATGCCATCGGAATTTTACGCAGCAGTGCACGGCATTAATTTCCAACCATGATGTGATACTGTTGATCCTGCTTGAACATGACGGAGGGGTAAAAATCTCGTATGAAAAGATCACTCGTCTATAGTGTCTTAGCGGACTTCATATCGCTCGAACTCTACATAAGACAAAATTTCGTCCACTTTCATTTCTGATTATTTCTATTAATTGAATATTTTATTTTTTAATCGATGGGCGATTCCTCGAGTTACAGTAGGGCACGTGTCTGCCAACCACGTATCACAAACGAGTGCTGGTCGTTCTCATGAAGGACATGCAAATGTCGCGTAAAGCGACGCAATGCAGGAATTGTTTGCTGCTTATTGTACATGTCCGAATGATCCCCATTTCACCAGCAGATCCCACCGGAAATCGTGTCGACTGGGGAGTTGCTGCTCGTCAGGTTCAAGACTGACGACTCCATCAACGCCAAGGGGTTCTCTGCGTCGTACCAGAAAGTGCTGGACCCGAACTCGTCGTCGTCGGTGGAGCTCCCGCCAAAACAACCGCTCGTCACCATCATCGGCACCGGCAACACAAACGTCAATTCCAACGTCGTCATCGGTGGTGGCGGTGGAGTTGGCGGCGGCGGCAGCGGGAGTGGCAGTGGCAGTGGCGGCAAACCTTTGCAGCAGCCGTCTCCGGACGACAAGGTCGTGTTCGAGACCGGCAGCAACGAGGTGCGCAAGGACGCCAGTTCCGGCGACCCGGACCTCGACTGGCGCTACGAGTTCTTCCGCATGCACCGGCAACAGCAGGTCCAGCAACAGCGTCGGCAGTGAATGAGGCGTCACTTCCGGCACGAGTTCCGCCGTCGCGTCTCGTCACCTGCGACGAGAGGAGCCCGAGTCCCACCCCCCTCACGCCGTAGCGCGCAGGTCATGTCACGCAATGCCCTGCTCGCGAAGACTTGACTTCGATTCCCGTGTCTCTCTCCACTCTCTGTATCTTTGTGTCTTTTTCCTCTCTCTAGAGATGACCGAAATTTGCACCTTACAGAACTTCGAATAGTATTTGCGTCAATAACTGAAGGCTCGGTTTTCCTGTATATTTTCCAATGACGGACGTGAGAGCGAGAGAAAAAACAAAAGCCGGCTGTAACAACTGACCGGACACAGTACTTTTTTTGTTGTCTTTTTCATGACCTGCGTGAGTGAGATTATTTCGCGCGATCGCAGCGGATATATTTGCCCACCGACTGGAAACAATCCAAGGTTTTTCGCGCGAAGAAAAACGCCTGCTGTGGGTGTGCAGGACCATTCAGAGGAATGCTCTGTTTCCCCTCTTCTTTTTTTCTTTTTTTTTTGTTCTAGGAACGCGTGTTCTCGTCGTCGATTTTTGTTCATTGTTGTGGTTTTTTAGGGACCCGTCCGTGATATGCGCACTGCACTCTTCTCCTCTGCTTCGCTTTCGCCAGAGAAAAAAGAAAAACAAACAAAAACTGACTGATATAGACTGAGAGGACTCTGAATGCGAGCTCTGCAGGCGTGTGATTCTTTTGTGCGTAACGATACGAAAGAAGAGATGGAGAGAGAGAGAGAGGAAGAAAGAAAGAAAGAAAGAAAGAAAGAAAGAAAGAAAGAAAAATGAGAGGAATAACGAGAGAGGAAAAGAAGGGACAAAAGCGACTTATTAGCGCTGGTTATCAGTCGGAGAAAAGGAGCAAGCTGAGGTCAACTGATTCGAGTAAGAACGGAGATTATAGCAGAGGGGTTCGGTGGTCGCATGCAGTGAAGAGGACAATGTTTCCTTCTTCTTCTTCGACGAGGACTGAGAGAGTTGTGAGAAAGTGTCGATATGCCGAGCTGCGAAAGAACGCGAATGACTTCTATACTGATGAAATAGTCTAGTCCGCGCGGAAACGAGATTCTCGTAGACGACAGTTTGTGTTTGTTCGTTCGTTCGTTCGTTTGTTTGTTTATTTGTTCGTTTTTTCACCTTTTTTCCCCTTACCCTCGCCCCCCCCCCCCCCCTACGGTTTCGGCATTTTGACTCGGATGCGACGACAGGTGATAGTGTGAGGGATGAGGGGGATCAGTTTGGTCGACGTTCTCAGCCGTGTGCCATTTTTTGGTTGATTCATTTTGCGACCGGCCAACGACTCGGACATCCGGTCCATTGCCGTCGTGTTTCTCGGAATCTCCCGTGCCCCCCCTCCACACCCCCTCCCCCGGAAAGGAAAAGGAAAAGAAATGCTGGTCGCCGCGACGCGCAGGTGTCGTGTTCTTTTCCAGTGGAGCAAGAGACTCTTCGTTCGAGAGAAGATTAAAGGAACTTGATGCACGGCTGAAGTCATTTTCTTTCTCTCCGGAAAAAAAAAAAATTATCGAGAAATGAGCGCTGATATGGTGGGAAAAGCAAAAATTGAGTAAATTTCGATGAGATAAAAGGGCGAGGTACGGAAATGCAACACGCTCTACAGACCAAGATGAGAGACTGCTTCCAATTGTGTTTTTTTTTTTCTCTCAACCCACGCATGTTCGACACCATCATGCACAGGCCACTGTACTCGACGAACGTCGCAAGATATGGTTGGAGTTTTTATACTACGTTTTTTTTTCCTCACCAATCATCTCATCATAAAATTGAAAAATTTCAGCGCACCCAGCTGCAGCTTGAAATACAGAGCAGATGAAAACGCGAGCTCGAGTCATGTTTAAAATAAATTCACCGAGTTTGGCATTAATCAAATTGAAGAACCCTCTGCGCAGGCCCAACGGAATTCCCCATCGGTATCGATTCCCAATCAAGGCTTCACCACGCCAAGTTTTTTAAAATTTTTAAACGGCTTCACGAGTCGCAAAGGTGTTGGTGAAGCGTTGATACTGTTGAGAGAGAATGTGCAACCGAAAGACAGCTGCGTGAATCCCCGACCGAAAGTTGATTCATCAACCTTCTCAAGTACCTTATGGCGCGAGGTTCATTGGGTTCCGGAAATGAGAACAGTTAGATTATCCCGGACGCCTGCGATTAATAAGCCCTCTTCATCCTGGCGACGATGAACAAAAAGAAGGCATTGTTCCGCGTTCAGCGCTTGATAACGCTGCCGAACGTGAGGGAAACGAAACCCCACTTAAAGTTTAAAAAATAAATCCGGGTGCGTCTTTTTTCAGACGGGCTACGGTAATAAGGGCTGTAATTGGTCACTCGACGTGGTGCCTGACGATAATGCTGGCGAACGTCAGATGCCCTATTTCCGCTCTCGGGTTCTCAAATTCGTGTCAACCATCACAAGTTATGCCACGCCTCAAAGAAATCGATGAAAAGTTCCTTCGCTAATACAAGCCACACTATTTCATCTAAGAACTCTGTCCCAGAAACTGAGAAAAATGAATGACAAAAAACAACAAGAAATGACCTTTAAATACAGTATAATGTTTAAACGATGGCGATGGATAATGTGCAATGCACGAAAGTCAACTCGAGACCATTCGTTCATGTGTATACTGTATTTGTTTTTGACAGACCCAGAAAATCCACTCTTCATATCTGCATATCCCACAGAGATCACGATTTTTAATTTTCCTATAAATATGATAAATGGGGAGAGGATTCAACCAGCTGTGAATCGCAATGCAGCAACAGCTCAGAAAATATCGTTTCGAACTTTCTGGATTACTGTATACTTGAGCCTTTCATCATGCATCAGCAGGTCCCATCAATTTCAAGATGCTGCTCTAATTTTGGTTCAACGACGTCGGTGAACAATTTCCTGAAGAATTTGCGTAAAAATGATGATTCTCCTATCGATCATCGGCTTCAATCCCTCATCTGGAAATCGATGACGGGTTGCGCAGGCTCAATCATGACGCGTCTAATCGCGGTCATCATCGATGACGCTGTGCTGTATTCAAATATTATGGAATTGCATATGCACGCACATTACTGTATACTGAACATGCATTTGGCTGCGATGAAGAATGCCGCCGCATCGTCCGAGCGCGTGCTTATTGTAGCAAGGACGCCGTTTCATCGGCGGGGTACTGTACCTCTCAAACGACGATACAAGTATGAAATAATGGGATGGGAATTAGGCGGCCGGGAAGTAGTCCCCTATAGCTCGTGTGTGCCAGCAGTCAGTCAAAGGGATACTGTTTGTAAGGCCCATATGCTGGCGCATATGCTGGTCCCGATAGTGAGCATGGTCGTAGGTGGTCGCAGCGGGCGCTGAGTAGGTGTAATTGGTTCCGGGGAGGCGACGAGGCGCATTCCGACAGCCCCAGGCCGGCTCGCCACGGGACGCCTGAGACGGCGCTGATAACCCAGCCAGCCGCCGCTGTCGGTTGCCTTGTTGACACGACGCCGTGCTGTCGGCTGGTCCCG